CCTTTCATTGCTTTACAAACTCTCCCCCAGGTCCACTCCACCACGTAGCCTCCGCTCTAGACTCGTCATGACAAAAATACCTAATCACATAACCCTTTTTTTCTCCCTCATCTGTTTCAATGCAGTATACATCTTTGAACCTGTATTTCTCAGTCTCTCCCCAGCCCCAAGGTCAGTCCTGTTTTACAACAGTGGCACCATGCACTATTTTTCCTTTTGTGACTAGGATACTTCACTCAGCATGTCCTCCAGAGACACACATTTTGAATAATATTGCATGAATTCCTTGTTTTTCAATGCAGCATAGAATTCTATTGTTGTGAATATACCACAGCTTCTCTATCCATTCATTTGTTGATGAACACTTAAGAGTGTTTCCAACTCCTTGCTACTGTGACAAAACTTCAATAAACATGGGTGTGCATGTATCTTATTGGATCTCAGTTATGGTCTCTTGGGGGTATATTCCTAGTAATGGAATTGCTGGGTCAAATCATATTTCTATATGCAACTTTTTGAGAAAGCGCCACACCATTTCCCACAGTGGTTGCACCATTTTACGCTCCCACCAACAGTGAATAAGGGTTCCTGTTTCTCCACAACCTTGCCAGCGTTTGTTGCTTGCTGTTCTGTTAAATTTTGCTCTTCTGACTGGGGTGAGATGATAGCTCATAGTTAATTTGCATCTCTCTTAGAGGTAGGGATTTTGAACATTTCTTCATGTGCTTGTTAGCCATCTGAATGTCGTCTTTGGTGACGTGCCTGTTCATATCCTGTGTCCATTTTTCTATCAGACGGGCTTTGATAAGACCAACCTTCATCCCATTCTCCCAAACGTCTTTTATCAAAGCCCCTGGGTTCTCAGTGGCCTCCAGGTGAAAGGTATACTGGTTGGCCCCTGTGACACCCATTGGCTAAACCCTGCTCTATCCTGGGCTAATCACAATGCCTCTCACACACCCATCCCGATTACCCCAGTCACTGAATCAATCCACCTCATAGAGGGTTTTCCCCTCTTATGCCTCCCTGACATCCTACCAAGCATGATGTTCCCTCTAAGGACCTGTCCCTCCTTACAATATGTCCAAAGTATGTCAGACGAAGCCCCAGAATCCTTGCCTCCAAGGAGTAGCCTGGTTTAACCCTCTTCAGGGTGAATCTGTTTGTTTTCCTGGCAGTCCATGGAACATTTAATACTCTTCTCCAGCACCACAGCTCAAAGGCATCAATTCTCCTTCTATCCTCCCTAGTCATTGTCCAACTCTCTGATGCGTAACAAGTGACTGTAAAGATCATGGCCTGTTATCAGAAATACCTTAGTCTCCAGAGACACACCGTTGCTCTTGAGTACTTTAGAGAGGTCCCTAAGCAGACTTTCCTATCGCAACACCTTTTTTGATTTCCTGGCTGCCAGTGCCAAGAGTGTTGACCATGGAACTGAGCAAACTGAAGCTGTGAACAATCTCAATCTCTTCGCCATCCATCCTGATGCTACCGATTGGTCCAGTGGTGAGAATCTTTTTGTCTTCTTAACATTGAACCTCAGTCCATACTGAAGGCTGCAGTCCTTGACCCTCTGCAGCAAGTGCATGAGGTCCTCCTCAGTTTCAGCAAGCCGGGTTGTATCATTTGCATAACGCACGTTGTTAATAGATCTTCCACCAATCCTGATGCCACACTTCTCCTTATAGAGCCCAGCCTCTCGGATAATCTGCTCTGCATACAGGTTGAAAGGTATGGAGATAGGACACATCCCTGGAGTACATCCTTCCCAATTCTGAGCCATGCAGTGTTACCCTGCTCTGTTCTGATGTCTGCCTCTTGCTCCAAGTATAGGTTTCACATTACCATGATTAAATGTTCTGGGATTCCCATTCTTCTCAGTCAGCCATAGTTTGTTAGGATCCACGCAGTCACACACCTTTGCATAATCAATGAAATGAAAAAAAAAAAAAATCTCAAAGGCTCACTCTGAAATGAATTTTTGGTTTCTTTATAATAGATAATTGGAGGGAATATAACATCCAATGAAAATCACTTTTAAAATGGGATCAACCCATTCTACCATGAGACCGAAACGGTAATCTCCAGTTTCATTTGGAATGGAAAGAAGTCCCAAATAAGCAAAGCACTTCTTAAAAATAGAAAAAAGGTAGGAGGCACCTCACTTTCTGATTTCAAATCCTACTACACTGCTGTGGTGGGTGGTTAAGACAGCATGCTACTGGTACAATACAGACACATACATCAATGGAATAGAATTGAGAATCCAGAAATCAGGCCATCTCCTTATAGTCAACTGATTTTTGACAAGGAGATGAAATCAGTTAAGTGGGGAAATGGTGTTGGAAATGGTTAGCAAATGGTGTTGGAAAAATATCTGCAGAAGACTCCAACAAGATCCACACCTCACTCCATATACAAAAAACTCATGTATCCAGGACTAAAACCAAAGACTATAAACTTCATTAAAGAAAAGCTTGGACGAATTGTAGTAGTCCTAATCCATAACATAAACAGTCTTTAAGTATCTTGAAAAATCTATAACCAGGAGAAGATGAATGGGACCTTCTAAGACTCAAATCCCTATGCACATCCAAAAACTTGTGGAACAGGGTCAAAAGGGAAGCCAGAGATTGGGAAAAAGTATTTGGTAATGACTTTTCAGATAAGGGACTTATATCCAGAATTTATAAAATACTTGAGCACCACAAGGAAAGAGAAATAATCCAATTGAAAAATGGGCACAGGATATTAACAGACACTTCAACAAAGAAGACATTCAGATGGCTAACAAGCATATGAAGAAATGTTCAAAATCCCTACCTCTAAGAGAGATCCAAATCAAAACAACTATGAGATATCATGTCACCCCAGTCAGAAAAGCAAAATTTAACAGAACAGCAAGCAACAAATGCTGGTGAGGTTGTGGAGAAACTAGAACTCTTAATCACTGTTGGTGAAAGTATAAAATGGTGCAACCACTGTGGAAAATGGTGTGGCGCTTTCTCAAAAAGTTGCAAATAGAAATATACCATTTGACCCAGCAATTCCATTACTAGGAATATACCCTAAAAAGACCATAAAACAGACATCCAAGCAGATATATGCACACCCATGTTTATCGCGACTTTGTTCACAGTAGCAAGGAGTTGGAAACAACCCAAGTGCCCATCAACAAACGAATGGATAGAGAAGCTGTGGTATATTC